GTCATTGTTTTAGAATAAAAATTCTCTTAGAATATCCGGGATTTAGGCAATATAATTGATAGTAAACTAACATTTACAGAGCATATAAGTAGGATTGTTAGAAACGTTTATCTAAAAAGCCATCAATTCTTAAGAATAATGAAAACATGGGAACTTAACACTTTAATACTAGCTTACAAATCACATGTTAGATCGCAATTAGAATGCGATACCGAAATATGGAATCCGATTCAAAATAAAGATATAACTAATCTAGAGAAATTTCAAAAATTTTTTCACATTTAAGAAATGTGGTCTAGTTTATAAAAATATTTTTATTTATTTATTTATTAGCAAACCACAGGTATTTTAAAATACATTAAAGTGGTGCATAAAAAATATACAAATTGAAAATATATGTGAAACAGCAACAAACAAAAACATGAATAAATTTAAAAAATTAAAAAATATGTACATATAAGAAAATATTAAAAAGACATGATGAGTAGGGCGTGTCAAGACATGCAAATGCATATTTTGCATGCGGATATGCTATGAACTGAAACGCTCAAAAATGGTGTTTTTACATGGATCCGAGCACTTTAGAACCCGGTTCTTAATGCATATGTATGCATTGCTAGTTTAATGATGAGAGATCTAATGATGAGATATTAAACTAATGCAATTTACAAGAACTAAACATTAGAAGAAAAATAACTGGCATGTTTACTATCTTGAAATAATTAACAACAGTCTAAAAAATTCAATCTTGATTCATTTGTTGATTTTGCATTGTTACTTGATTATCTTCCCTTGCAAGATTTATTTGATGAATTAAAGGTTGAATAGCATTTGAGTGTAGACTTTTGTATAATTGTTTAATAGTACTAACAGTTTCTTTGAATGTTTTAAAACAATCGCGTTGAATTGTCTTGTTCATTGTTAAGTATACAACTGGAGGTATTCCTGGAATTATTTTTTGGATTAAGATTTTGCATCCTTTCAGAAAAAATTTTTATTTTATACGATAAAAACCCCTCACAATAAACACATATCCAACTCGACTTATAACTAGAGATCGGAATTTTGTTCCGTACCGTATTCCGTACCGTAATACCGAAAAATACCGATACCGAAAAATACCGATGAAATTCAAAATGTACCGTATTCCGTACCGTATTACCGACTGCAATACCGATAAATACCGAGAAATACCAATAAATACCGATATTTTTCATCGGTACCGTATTCCGTACCGTATTTTTTTTTTAATTTTTTCCGTACCGTATTCAGTACCGTACTACCAATACGGAATACCGATAAATACCGAAAAATACGGCCGTAGTACGGTACGGTCCGATCTCTACTTATAACGTCTCTTGTTTTTAATTAAAAATTTAAGTATTGAAAAGTTCATGAGTATTTATAAAGGTTTCCACACTTTTGGATTTTCTCATCTTAAAAATGCTTGGGTGAAATTTTGGCGCGAATAATAATGGAAGTAAGAGAAATTAGAAAAATTATGGCAATATGAGTAGTTAAAACAACCAAACTGCATTCGAAAAGTATATGCAACCCCCCAGTCTAATCAAAATAACAAAGAAAAATTTATAAAAAATCAAAAAACTAGGGGGTGCATTTACTTTTAGAACGCAGTTTATATGCATGGGTCGTGGATTTTTTGGATATTTTGGTATAGGGATAGGAAATGAAAGAAGATCAGAGAGAGTCAAATTTTTACCGGATTGCAGGGATTACAAATTAAAAACTGATATATAGGAGATTTTCAGATAATTTCGAAGGAGAGTTGAAAAATAGCACTGCTGGCAGTACTATTTAAGGAATTCACATATGTATATCTTCTTAATCACCGATAAATTTTCTGTTCAGTTATAGTAATAAACTTCATTCAGTTATAGGAATAACGAATTTTGCAAATCGTTACAGAAAAATAAGCACGGAAACTTTCCATCATTTTTCCTAATTTATTTTATGGAATTAATAATATCGATAATACCGTGTACATTTAACCATAAAATTTGACCAATTATAATAATAACTTCATTGACGTGGATATATTGCATAAAAACAAAAATAAAAGCAGCAAACGTATTAAATGAGCTAATCAAAAAGACTTGAAAAAAAATCTAAAATTTAATTTCGTACAATATTTACATGTAGTGATAAAAAACCATTATTTCAGAATAGCTTTGTTGATTAGATTGAAGTCCGCCTTGTTTGAACAAAAAAATTACGCAAAAAGTTACGTAGGTGATTAATAGAAAAGATATGAGGACTAAATCGTGGATTGGATGAAGAGTCACATTATATACCTTTAAAGAGATAAAATATTTTAAACAAATAATTCAGCAATCACTTGGTTAACATCATCAATATATCCAATGTGTGGATTGAAGAACCAGCTAAAGTAGATGCCACTAAATGCAACTGTTTTTGTCCATGTAATTACAGATAAACTATATATTATTGGAATGACTAGCCAAATATACAATTTTTTGCCTACAATTTTATAAAAAAATTAAGTTAATTTAAGTAATCTTATACTAATCTAATTTCGTTGATTAAATAGTTGAATTATTTTTTATTCACTTATTTTTCACGTGAATAATTTCTTTCCCTTTTTTGATCTTTGTACCCTTATTTCTTAGGACTTAATCTTTTCTCTTTTCCTTTGTTACTATTAAGTCCTCATACTTTAGCGCTAAAATAATAGGAAAATAATATTTCCGCCCTTAGTGGCGATGATTAAGCTTGAGAATGATCGCCCTTAGTGGCACTAAGCTACGTTCTATAAAACTAAATGTAATTTTCCCATTCTTCGGATTTCAATCATTCATTCACTCCTTTAACTAAAAACTTTTTTGTAATAATTCTCTATTGTTTATTATTGGAATAAATTAATTATTTGGAAAATATTGGATAAATATTTTATTTATATTTTAGAAACAAGTGTTGTAGGACCTAATCAAACCGATTTTCGACAAGTACCGTATCGTACAGTACCAACCTTTAAAAATTTTTGTAGCCATTTCAGAAGACAAAAGTTCAATGCAACGATTCATAGCTAAAATTAATTCAAGTGTAGATTCAGTATACCAGCAAACTAATAATATCAAATATCTAATAAATTAGAAAATATACAAACAGGATACATAGGCCCCAGCAAAATAAATAAATTCTGGTGAAGAACAATAAACATATCCAAGATATCCCATATATCCAGTTAAATGTCCAACGAATAAAATTGCCGCAATGTCAATAACGCCCATAACGAACATAATTTTATAACAAGTACTTTTTGCCATTTGTTTACAAATTGATACCATACAAGGAATATAAAGTATCTGTTTAATAATAAACGTAAATTTTTACAGGCATAAAAAACATATTAACCCATGCTTAAATAATTTCTGACTTTACTAATCCACACAAAAATAAACTGGTGATTCTCCTAACAAAGAACATCAACTATTTTCACTTATTATGTCTGCGGAGGAAGCCAGACATGCCCAACGCAACTAACATAGGCAAAAGTTTATGTTACGAGCCCAGAACCAAGCGACCGTTGACGCGCAAAGTGCGGTGTTTTGCAAAAGCGCCTCACCGACGCCCCATAGTTATATTTTGTTTGTTTTTGTGTTATAACTTTGATTAATCTTGTTCAATTACGGTGATTTCTGTGTCATTCACTAAATATGTTCGACACGATAGAGGTATTATTTGCATATTAAAATGTTTTTTGACCATTTCGAGACCTATATCTCGGTCCACATGCATCTCCGGGAAAAAAGAGTACACCGTTCGACACAACACTTTTTTCTACCCTATATATCATTTTGAAAATTAATTTAGGGGGTTACGTCATAACGGGTAAGTACCGCCCTGCATTTTTACATATTGGTATTTATTGCCCTTTCATTCTAATTGGCAAAAAGCATTCTATAACGGAGAAGGAATAATGAACGAGCGCTACTTCAGATGAGAAAATTAATAATCCAAATTGAGATGGAAGTAAGTCTTTGTTCAGATAGGCGAATTGGGAATTGGACGAACTATGCCGGAAAGCTTTTATTTTTTAAATTTTTTCTGCTAATTACCGCATATATTGTAGACAAAATAATGTAGAAAATTCCAAGTATTTTATGTTGACGTTTTTCTAAAGGGATTTGGTCGATATTGTAAATACTACAATTATAAAGTCTCTCATATTCATCATGATGAAAATAATACAAATCCATTCCTTTATTAACTTTGTTATACTAATTTTTAAATTTTTATCTAAAAATTTTTCTTGTATCTATACAATTTTTTTTTATAATTTAAATGCCTTTAAATTTATTTTAAATTCTATATTTTTTATTTTTTTAAATTATAAATTGAATTATAAAAGATTTTATAATTATGTATATTAAAATATATTATTAAATTATCAAAAGGCAAATGTTTTGTTTGCTTTAAAATTATAAAAATATTTCTAGTAATTTGTCAGAAAAAATTGTCTAGAGACTTGCTAATTTTTAGTTATCAAGCAGGTGTACTTTATATTAAATACTTTATATATACTTTATATGTACTTTATTATTTAAATTTTTTTTGTTTTTATTTGAATTTTAAATTGTTGCTTAGAAGGTAAAAAAGGCAAAAACTTAGAAGGCCACAATTTAAAATTCAAATAAATTCAAAAAAATTTTTTAATAATAAATAATAGTTGATGAAAAGTACACCTGTAACTATAAAATATTAAGTCTTTAAACAATTTTTAATAATAATATTTTTAATTATACTTTAAGGATTTTAAATAAAAATAAAAAGATGTGAATAAAAATAAAAATAATGCATTTAAAAATTCCGAGAATAAGCAAATTTTAACTTAAAGATACTTCATTTATCTATCATTTAAAAATGAAAATAAATTTTTCAGGATACTGCATAGCAGCTATACAATTTTTTGAAAATTGAATGCTAATTTTTCTACATTTCAATACTAATATATGTACATACTAGTTTGTTTTTTCAATTTTCAAATGTTCTTTTTGTTGATCAAAGGTGTCATAACTTTTTACAATCCGCGATTCACATTCTATTTTTCGCCATTTATTCTTGATCACCTTCGCGCATATGGTTAGAATGGTCAGGAAGCTGACAGGTTGATGTGCTATAAAATTTGAAGATGTTAGTTCGGCAAGATTCATTTATAACGGATACTAACTGCTTAATTTGACAGATTCAAGTTATACCAATAATGGTATTATGTACCTCTAGTAAACTCATTTTTTCTTTCTATTCTTTTCTCATTTTATGGGTTTTCATACGATTAGGATGTCACTAAAATTAATGAAATTTTACTTAGGCAAACAAAGTATTTAAAACGAGTTTTCCGTTTCAAAATTTTGTTAAAATCATCAAATATCTCTTAAACATTTAGAAAATTTTAAAGTACCTCCAACATTTTGATGCTCATCATCCTTAAATTCATTAACAAATTCTCTTTTATATGGATATCCACCGTTAGGATCCACATGATAGTATTTAGTTGCCTCATTCAGATCAGACAATCGCGGTGCCCCTGGGTGAATAATAGAAGTTTTTGCTCCATCAGCAAACTTCAGTCCTGGAGTTCCGTGATGACTTGTTCCTCCTTGATTAAATTTTCCTCCCGGATTTTTCTCAAAAAAATTTCCTCTAATGTTTTGAGGTAATTTATTTTTCTCACTTCCTCCAGAATTCCCTTTACTTCTTCCTGGGTTCCCCGTACGTCGCATACATTCGATCGCAGAAAATAAAACGCAAACGCATAAAAGAAAATTGGTCACACTCGAAGAATTCATTTTTTTCAAGTGTCTAAAAATAATTTAATTCTTAAACTGTTAGTAAAATTTTATAAATAATTAGTAGGGAGTGGAAAACATGCAAATGCATATTTTGTATGCGGATATGCCATGAGCTGAAACGCTCAAAAATGGTGTTTTTACGTCAGTACCAACATTAGGGACCCGGTTCTAATAGCATATTTGTGCATATTTCGGTACTTTCGTACATATTTGCATATCGATGCATATTTTGGGAAATGTTGCATATTTTTACCTAAATTTTTGCATATTTTGGCATTTTTTGAGAAATTTTAGTAAATATATGGCAAAATTTTCAAAATTTTGGAATTTTTTAGGTAAAAAGTTTTTTAATAAAAATTTGTTGAAAAAATTTTTTCGAAAAATTTTTCGGGAAAAATTAAAAAAAAAATTTTTTTTTGTTGAATTAAAAGTTAATAAAATCTTTAAGAAGTGCTCTTAAACTGTCATTTAAATTCTAAATTTGTATTTTTTACTTGAAATATTGAATTTCAAAGCACATTTTCATTATTTTCGCTGCATATTTAGTGCATATTTCGGCAAATTTGGCATATTTTGGTGCATATTTTGGGCTTTTTCGGTGCATATATATGCGCATATTTTGGGATTTTCCGTGCATATTTTGCCACTTCCTAATAATTAGATATTAACATAGAACTTACAGCCTTTGTGGCTGGGGGGGGGGGAGTTCCCTGACCAATAAAACGGGTGATGAAACCTACTTTACCTCACCGAATAAAAAAAGCACCCACAGTTCATAATATGAACTGTTCATAATATGAACATAATATGAACTTCATATTATTAAATAAGTTGCGCGAGGTCTAGGTTTTTCGGCAAAATCGAAACCGATGATTACTGAGACTAAAAAATTCAAATACCAAATACTTCGAAAATATTTGAACGTCTGGTACAGCGGATTAAGACAGGTATCGACGAATTAATGGGGAGATATAAGTGGGATATTAAAATATATCGTTGGATTTGTGAGTATAAGGGGTATATAGCGAATGTGAAGCGGAAAATGAACAGCTAACAAACGGAATTCGGAGAAACATCTCCTATGTTTTTTAGATTATTAATTAGTAATAAACCATTTAAATGCAATAAAATTTTTAAAGAATCAATTATTGAAAATTAAATAGCTATTATTAGCCCTTCTCTCATAAATAAATTTTTTTGCCCCCTTTAAAAATAAAAATTACTCCCCATCATCCCCTCTCCACTCATCCACTCCTCCTCTCAAAATTTTATTAACGCGCTTATAGAGAAGCATGTATTTCGACATAAATATGCGAGCGTTAATTATAGACTCTCGTTTAAATACATGAGCGCGTTTCTTGGCGGCATATATTCATCCTACATAAAGTTTTGAATAAACAAGAGGACTTCAACTTATTGTGGCCAATCAATTTGGAAATATTTTTAATAGTTTTAGAGTATCTACAATGACATAATATTTTTAAGGTTTGCTTAACGAGGCTAAAACGTTTATAAGTTTTAGAAGTCGTTTTAAAAGCATATTAAATTGCAAAATTTTGTCAACGATTTAAAAATAACCGCATAAAATTGTCATTTCAAGATAATGCTCTATTTTTGCCCTTTTTTGCCGATTTCAGCCTATTTTTGCCACATTTTTGAGTTGCTGCGCCCTATTTTATTGTTTTGGAAAGAACAACCCTGATGGTCAGTGTTAAGAATTACTAAAAACCTGCTTACACAAAACCTATATACTTTAAACTATTTCCTTATTACTATCTCAACTCTTTTGGAGGATTCTTTTTTTCTAAATAAAAATTTGTAAGGATGATGCAATATTCCATCCAATCCATAACATATAGCAAGACTCAATGCCCTCTCAAGCTTTCGCAATGCCTTAAGATTTATTAAAAGGGCAATGTCCTTATTTTTGTATCCATTTACAAAGAACCGGGCCAAAATAAGTTTTACAAGCTACAAAAAAAGACAAAATCGAAATTTCGAAAACAGTTAAGTCTGATTAAATAATAGAAATTTGACAATTGTATTTCGAAATTTAGATTTTTTGCTTGTATATTATAAGTCTTGGAATTTTTTGAGTTTTAGCCAAGCATGTCGGTGCGTTCGGCAGAAGTAATTGGGGAGTGAGAGATTTGCTAAGTAAACATTTTGTAAAACTTTTTTCTTAAAAATTAATTTGAATAACCATAGAAAATAGTAAATTATAAAAAGCACTAAATTATTTTATTTAAAACGAAATTTATAAAAATGGCGACAAAAAAATAAATGAGGAAGGATGTAAAATTACAATTGAAAGAACTTACATATTTATTATCATAACTAGATCTGATTTTCTGAGTAAATAACTATTATCCAGGTCTAATTACGGAACACACAAAAAATTAAGTTAAAGCAAATAATAGGAACAGACTCACCGCAAATAAGAAAACTCAAAATTATATTTCCCTAATTTCTCCAAAATTGCGAATTAAAAATAAAATCGAAATTTCGAAACTGGACTTCACCATAAAGTTGTATAGCAAACGTGTGTTTAAAAAGGCTGTCTTATTCTACATATTAATTCATAAATTGGCAATTTTTATTTTGAAAATCTTAAATTCTCTTTGAAATTAAATTATAAGAAATTGTCTAAGTTAGCTCAGTGGTAAAGCTCCTGTATGTGGTGAGCGAAAGCGCCTAGCAATAATTACGGGGAGGTGCAGATTCGAATTTTGCCCGGTGCTAAACTTTTGCTAAACTTTTCATTCAGATAAATTGAGTGGTAAAATAAAATATTATTTTATCATCAATATCTTCTAAATTATTGGAAAATTTCCAAACCTTGTTTGGGAGATGGAAGCTGGCACGGCTTGAAATAGGAAATACAAAATTAAAATAGCCGATCTACGGTGTGGATGACAGATCGTTTTCAGCTCCTTTCAAGACGGGTTTCAATGTTGTTGGATCTCCCATCAATTCCACCAAGTCTTTTATTATGTTAAGCTACATAAAAATTCATTAGTTCAAAGACGCCCGCAACAGATAATGCCATAAACAGCGTTGCGCTTTTTATTTTATGTATCAATGCAGGCAAATAATGTATTTTGTCATTAATATATTTATATTTAAAGAATGAAACAGTCAATTTGTTTTATTTTTCTAATCTTAATTTGTTTTTTATTTGATTTGAATTATTGTCGGAATTTTAAAGGGAACAAACGAGGAAAAATGTTTAAAAGTCAAAATATAACAAAATATGCCACAAATCAGTTGTGCAAGAAATATTATAAACGAAGAATTGTAGATGGAGTAATTCAAGATACGGAACAAACTAGTAATGGAAATGAGGTAAAGGATATTGGCCTATCTCCACTTTTCATAGAGGAGGGGGGGGGGATTCAGATTTGGACAATTTATATTCAATCGAATGAACTCTGAGTTATAGAACTCGAAATTATAAAAAACTGTAGTGTAGAAGCTCGATTGAGCTTAGTTAAATGACTTCAAATTCAGCTTTATTTGAAGTTTCTGAAAAATTATGACAAACTAAGCTTCGCCAGAAAAAAATGTTTGAGCTGCTCTGGACGGTACGCGGTTGTAACGCTTAACCGTCGTTCCACTCGTCATGCCCAACTTTTTTTTAAATTTTCTTTACAGAATATTGAAAACAATTTGAAACGTAGTAAACGTTCAACCCAAGGAGAATTGAAGCCTAAGAAGAAGAAGAGTTGGTTTGAAAACTTTTGTTTATGTGGTGGTTTGTTCTACATATTTAATTTTTAAAATTTTATGAATATTTTTCAATTAAAATTTAAAAATTGAAATCATGGCGCTTTTTTAATATTTTTCATTAAAAAATTTTAAAAAAATTGTAACGGGTTTCACTCATAAAAATCAAGGGTTGTGTAGATTTTCCACGAGAGAAGTATTTTCCGGAAGTACAAGCAATTTTCTCAAAGATTATGAATTATGCATTAATAATATATATATATAATTTATCTCGATAAAAATTCCTTCACTGTACAAATATGTACAATTACCGAAGTACATTGTTTTTCACAAATTTAAAAAATTATTTAAGTTTAAATTTTTAATAAATTATAAATTAAAGGAGATGGAGAAACAAATCTTGAGGAAATATTGAAAGGACTTCAAAGCACTGATCCAAAGAAAAAAATAAAAGCATATAACAAACTTCGAAAAATGGATGGCGAAGAAATAGTAAATCAGCTTAAAGCTCTTGGTCTTTACGAACAAACATTAGGACCTCAAACGCACGGTTCCAACGATGCTGATTTAGTCCAAGCAATTCTACAGTCTCTTGCAGAAAGCAATCAACCGATAATAATTAGAGGCTCTTTATATTTATTTAAAACTTTATTTATAATTTATTAAGATACTCCACGTGAAAATCCATCAACAAGTTCTCAAATTCAACATCCACAGCCAGTTGGAAAAGGAAAAGGGATAGCCGAAGGTGTAAAAGAATCATCATCTTCTGAGGATGATAATATAGTATATAATCGTAGAACTGGTCAGGGTAGTAGTCATTAGCAAGAGAATTAAGTTTGAAACCGCATATGAATGTTGATTCAAGAAGAGGGATTTTCTCCACACGATTATAATCTTTTACTTCACTATTTTATTTCACCGATATTTAGGGGTTTATTTTTTAGAAGCTTAAAAAAGTCGAGACCAAGACTTCACTACAATATCAAGACCGAAAAAAGCCAAAAATGTTTTGAGTTGTCTCAATACAAAGGGTCTTGGAAGTCTCTACTAGAGTGTTAAAATTATTTTCATAGTTAGAATTATTTTAGTAAAATTATTTTGTCTTACTTGCATTGTTTGACTATTGCATTTAAAAAGATTTCAATCAAGTAAAAAAAATTTATCGAAATTTATCCTCTACTTTTAAAAAATATAATACCAAATATGTGTTTTGGCGAAGGCTATTTCAATGGAAATTTTTTGCTACTTTAGTTTACTTTATAATTTCTAATCTTTAGAATTTCAAGTTTTGATTTAAATATATCATCCTTCATTACTTCGTTCCATTCAATGCCTATTGAGGACCACGTTCAAAATCGATAGCTTGAATAATGTTTTTAATTTTATAATAATTTTTGATTAATAAAGATAACTAACTATTAATTAAAATAAATATAATTAATTTTTTTTCTCAGGATTTTACTCAGGATCACCCACCCAGTAAAAAATTTTTACCTCTTTAAAAATAAAAAATACTCCCCATCATCCCCTCCTCCCCATCATCCTCGAACCTAGCTGACATAACTTATTTCATTATTTTTATTTAAATACCATCATGATGTTCTTCGAGTTGAACATTTAAATCAGGCAATTCAGCTCGATTTTGTTGATGAATGATGTTATCTAAATTTTCCAGATTATTATACCTGTAAAGTTTTATTTATAAAATTGATATCAATACAAATATTATATAAATAATAGACAATTCTTAAGACTATCCACACCTCAAAAAACACAGTTATCACCAATTTCGAGCTATCACCCATGATCAATCTTCTGTTCTCACTCAAGTTTTGATTATTGTACATTTTACAAAGCTTAAGAGATTTCAAAATTTTAGCCTAAATGTATCTGACCAAACTACACGTTGTAAGGCATATACTATTTAATTCCTAAGGCCGTGGACACATCAATTCGGTCTACTAAAGATGCTAGTTCGTATTAAGCCGCCGATTAACTTTTGCACTAGCTAAAGGAGAGAAATAGCTATAGAACAGCTGCTTTATTTATTCTTCGCTTTTTCATCAGATTCTGTTTTTTAGTGATTAGAATTTCTATTACCTTGTTGAGGAGCCATATGATATGATTCCAAAATATGAAACCCTTAATAAAATTATTAGTTTAGATATATCAAAATATGTAGAAAACATTTAATGAGCCTTAAATAATTTATTTTTGGTTAATTGGATTTACAAAAAATTATTGTAAAAAGAGTATTTTAAAAATAAATATACTTATATAGTTAAGTAAACCAACCTTCGTTTGTAGCGATATGGCCTCTACTATCTCGGCCTGCACCTCCATTTTGTCGAGAGACACCTCTGTTAGCAATGCTTTCTTCATGTCCATATCCGAAAGTTTGCTCTCCTCTAATTTTTTCATCAGAATCTGTTTCTTCACCATCAGAATTGTAAAACTGATAATTGCTTGTATCCGAAATTTTAACACCTTTATAATGTTATATTTGAACAAATAGATATAAAAAATATATCCTATCAAAAAAATATACGTTAATATATCAGTAATCATTTACCTTTCTTAAATCTGGCATATCCTTTTCTGATTCCAATATTTTTATTCTTATTTCCAGTTGTCATATTTCCTTCCATTTGATTGTAATGCACTTTTATAACTTTATTATGTCCAACAAGTCCAACGATACTATTTTTGTGCATCTCAGATTCTTTAAATTATTTAAATATTTTATTTAAGAAAAGAATTTGATAAATGAAAATATGTGTAGAATATTTTATTATTTTAAAATATAAAATATTCTATTTTACGAGAACACTAGATTAGTAAAAGATAGTATATGGATTAACAAAAGACTTAAGAAAGTTTTTGACTAAATATGAAAAACTTCATTCAGTGATAGTGAAAACGATTTGAGAATCTGTAGAATTATAATAAAAATTTTCGTTAACATTGTGCAAGTAATGCCAAAAAGAAAGTAACAAACTTGCTTAAACCTGTAGAAAAATTATAAAATAATTGTGTCTCATCTTATAAAACAATACATAATTTAACATACCATCTAAAAAGAATTCTTCTTTAAGACTTTCATTTTGAAGTTTTAATAAATCCTGCCGAGCCCTCTCAAAATTTCCCCTTTCTTCGCGAACTTTCAAATCTAAGAAAGCTTTACGTTTTTCTATTTTTTCTTTTTTTAAATATTTAGTTGATTCGCCTTTAATATTAGACTTATCAACATTTTTCATTTCATCATTCATGCATTTTGACAATTCGAAAAATATGCAAATAAAAAATAGAAAGATAGCAAATTTTGACATGTTCATCCTTTATTTAAGAAATAAAAGATATCTTTAATTTTATCCAGATAATTTAAAACAAGCTTCGTCTTTTATAATAAAATTACGCGAGATTTATATAATCGAAAATCGTTACGACGATTTTAAAAAATTATCGCTGCAGAGTATAAAGTAAAAACACAGTATAAAATAAAAAAGTATAAACTACTAAGGCTTATTTCGATCTCTACAGAAATAAGATACATTTTTTAATTAACTTTTGAATAATTTCTCAACAAAAAAATGCATTACAATGATATTTGGACTTCTTAACTCAATAGATTAATCCTTTGGACTATTATGTTTGTTCATTTTAGGAGCAAAAGATTGGGCGCAAAAGATAAAAAATTTGAGAATCTGAAAAATTAATTAAAGCGTCCTGGGAGCAAATTAGTAGTGATGCTGAATGTGCGACCATCGTAGGCTTTTTCCTGAAGCGCTTAGATGCTTATATCTCCACAATTGGGTAAAATTTGAAATTTTTTATAATTTTCGAGTAACACACATTCACTTGATTGTATGTGTGAATTTACTTGGCAAAATTCTACTTGATTAAATTTTTATCCAAAAAAAGGTATGGGCAAAGACTTTTTACGCACCCTGTAGTTAACATACGGAATTCGGAGAAACATCTCAGATATAACATATGTTTTTAGATTATTATTTGAAATAAACAATTTAAATGTAATAAAATTTTTAAAGAATCTATTATTGAAAATCAAATAGCTATTATTTGCCCTATCTCTCATGAAAAAATTTTTACCCCCTTTAAAAATAAAAATTACTCCCCATCATCCCCTCTCCACTCATCCACTCCTCCTCTCAAAATTTTATTAACGCGCTTATAGAGAAGCATGTATTTCGACATAAATATGCGAGCGTTAATTATAGACTCTCGTTTAAATACATGAGCGCGTTTCTTGGCGGCATATATTCATCCTACATAAAGTTTTGAATAAACAAGAGGACTTCAACTTATTGTGGCCAATCAATTTGGAAATATTTTTAATAGTTTTAGAGTATCTACAATGACATAATATTTTTAAGGTTTGCTTAACGAGGCTAAAACGTTTATAAGTTTTAGAAGTCGTTTTAAAAGCATATTAAATTGCAAAATTTTGTCAACGATTTAAAAATAACCGCATAAAATTGTCATTTCAAGATATTGCTCTATTTTTGCCCTTTTTTGCCGATTTCAGCCTATTTTTGCCACATTTTTGAGTTGCTGCGCCCTATTTTATTGTTTTGGAAAGAACAACCCTGATGGTCAGTGTTAAGAATTACTAAAAACCTGCTTACACAAAACCTATATACTTTAAACTATTTCCTTATTACTATCTCAACTCTTTTGGAGGATTCTTTTTTTCTAAATAAAAATTTATAAGGATGATGCAATATTCTATCCAATCCATAACATATAGCAAGACTCAATGCCCTCTCAAGCTTTCGCAATGCCTTAAGATTTATTAAAAGGGCAATGTCCTTATTTTTGTATCCATTTACAAAGAACCGGGCCAAAATAAGTTTTACAAGCTACAAAAAAAGACAAAATCGAAATTTCGAAAACAGTTAAGTCTGATTAAATAATAGAAATTTGACAATTGTATTTCGAAATTTAGATTTTTTGCTTGTATATTATAAGTCTTGGAATTTTTTGAGTTTTAGCCAAGCATGTCGGTGCGTTCGGCAGAAGTAATTGGGGAGTGAGAGATTTGCTAAGTAAACATTTTGTAAAACTTTTTTCTTAAAAATTAATTTGAATAACCATAGAAAATAGTAAATTATAAAAAGCACTAAATTATTTTATTTAAAACGAAATTTATAAAAATGGCGACAAAAAAATAAATGAGGAAGGATGTAAAATTACAATTGAAAGAACTTACATATTTATTATCATAACTAGATCTGATTTTCTGAGTAAATAACTATTATCCAGGTCTAATTACGGAACACACAAAAAATTAAGTTAAAGCAAATAATAGGAACAGACTCACCGCAAATAAGAAAACTCAAAATTATATTTCCCTAATTTCTCCAAAATTGCGAATTAAAAATAAAATCGAAATTTCGAAACTGGACTTCACCATAAAGTTGTATAGCAAACGTGTGTTTAAAAAGGCTGTCTTATTCTACATATTAATTCATAAATTGGCAATTTTTATTTTGAAAATCTTAAATTCTCTTTGAAATTAAATTATAAGAAATTGTCTAAGTTAGCTCAGTGGTAAAGCTCCTGTATGTGGTGAGCGAAAGCGCCTAGCAATAATTACGGGGAGGTGCAGATTCGAATTTTGCCCGGTGCTAAACTTTTGCTAAACTTTTCATTCAGATAAATTGAGTGGTAAAATAAAATATTATTTTATCATCAATATCTTCTAAATTATTGGAAAATTTCCAAACCTTGTTTGGGAGATGGAAGCTGGCACGGCTTGAAATAGGAAATACAAAATTAAAATAGCCCATCTTCGGTGTGGATGACAGATCGTTTTCAGCTCCTTTCAAGATGGGGTTTCGATGTTGTTGGATCTCCCATCAATTCCACCAAATCTTTTATTATGTTAAGCTACATAAAAATTCATTAGTTCAAAGACGCCCGCAACAGATAATGCCATAAACAGCGTTGCGCTTTTTATTTTATGTATCAATGCAGGCAAATAATGTATTTTGTCATTAATATATTTATATTTAAAGAATGAAACAGTCAATTTGTTTTATTTTTCTAATCTTAATTTGTTTTTTATTTGATTTGAATTATTGTCGGAATTTTAAAGGGAACAAACGAGGAAAAATGTTTAAAAGTCAAAATATAACAAAATATGCCACAAATCAGTTGTGCAAGAAATATTATAAACGAAGAATTGTAGATGGAGTAATTCAAGATACGGAACAAACTAGTAATGGAAATGAGGTAAAGGATATTGGCCTATCTCCACTTTTCATAGAGGAGGGGGGGGGGGATTCAGATTTGGACAATTTATATTCAATCGAATGAACTCTGAGTTATAGAACTCGAAATTATAAAAAACTGTAGTGTAGAAGCTCGATTGAGCTTAGTTAAATGACTTCAAATTCAGCTTTATTTGAAGATTCTGAAAAATTGTGTCAAACTAAGCTTCGCCAGAAAAAAATGTTTGAGCTGCTCTGGACGGTACGCGGTTGTAACGCTTAACCGTCGTTCCACTCGTCATGCCCAACTTTTTTTTAAATTTTCTTTACAGAATATTGAAAACAATTTGAAACGTAGTAAACGTTCAACCCAAGGAGAATTGAAGCCTAAGAAGAAGAAGAGTTGGTTTGAAAACTTTTGTTTATGTGGTGGTTTGTTCTACATATTTAATTTTTAAAATTTTATGAATATTTTTCAATTAAAATTTAAAAATTGAAATCATGGCGCTTTTTTAATATTTTTCATTAAAAAATTTTAAAAAAATTGTAACGGGTTTCACTCATAAAAATCAAGGGTTGTGTAGATTTTCCACGAGAGAAGTATTTTCCGGAAGTACAAGCAATTTTCTCAAAGATTATGAATTATGCATTAATAATATATATATATAATTTATCTCGATAAAAATTCCTTCACTGTACAAATATGTACAATTACCGAAGTACATTGTTTTTCACAAATTTAAAAAATTATTTAAGTTTAAATTTTTAATAAATTATAAATTAAAGGAGATGGAGAAACAAATCTTGAGGAAATATTGAAAGGACTTCAAAGCACTGATCCAAAGAAAAAAATAAAAGCATATAACAAACTTCGAAAAATGGATGGCGAAGAAATAGTAAATCAGCTTAAAGCTCTTGGTCTTTACGAACAAACATTAGGACCTCAAACGCACGGTTCCAACGATGCTGATTTAGTCCAAGCAATTCTACAGTCTCTTGCAGAAAGCAATCAACCGATAATAATTAGAGGCTCTTTATATTTATTTAAAACTTTATTTATAATTTATTAAGATAAACCACGTGAAAATCCATCAACAAGTTCTCAAATTCAACATCCACAGCCAGTTGGAAAAGGAAAAGGGATAGCCGAAGGTGTAAAAGAATCATCATCTTCTGAGGATGATAATATAGTATATAATCGTAGAACTGGTCAGGGTAGTAGTCATTAGCAAGAGAATTAAGTTTGAAACCGCATATGAATGTTGATTCAAGAAGAGGGATTTTCTCCACACGATTATAATCTTTTACTTCACTATTTTATTTCACCGATATTTAGGGGTTTATTTTTTAGAAGCTTAAAAAAGTCGAGACCAAGACTTCACTACAATATCAAGACCGAAAAAAGCCAAAAATGTTTTGAGTTGTCTCAATACAAAGGGTCTTGGAAGTCTCTACTAGAGTGTTAAAATTATTTTCATAGT